TGCAGCGCGCACATAGCCTACATGGCAGCGCAATGCAGTTATGCACACGCACCCAGCTGCATTCACGCGAATCGCAGAGCGACTGGGGTGGTGCAGGAAGCCCGCTGACGCCGCGGCGCCCCTCCGGCGGGTCGTATAGTTAGTTCACTTTGAGTGGTCTGCCCCGTGGTGTAATAGTATGTGTGTACTGTGTAATGTGTTTATGGATCTGTTTCGTCCAGCATTTTGTTGTTGTCCTACAGGTCCCAATGATGTTGGTGTGGCTCGGGCCGTGTGCTGAGACTGCGATCGGTCACAAGACATGCGACAGATCCATGGCTGGCTCATGACTGCAGGACGGGAGAGAGTCCAGTTGTGGGCGGAGTGTGACTGAGCCGAGCTACACTAAACGTGCACGGTTACGGGGCACGAGACGACCGGCACAGCCGGGTAGAGGGCGGGGCGCCAGACCGTCTGGGTGGTCTCGTGTCCAACTCTCCCCCTCTCCCCTCCCTCTGCCCGCTGTGTTTTGTCGCGGGCCCGTCCACGGGATGACGTCACCGCCTTCAAATGAAGATGATCACGCAGGATGGTGAGGACCGGCCCGGCCCGGCGATTATCTAACCAATTGGCCCGGCTGCGTCAGCGTCCAAGCGCTCCGGGCGCGGCCGGCCGAGGGTCGAGTCCGCTGACTGAGAAGTTACCTCTGAACGGCTCTGAGCGGTGCTGAAGGGTGTTGACTGTTACAGGATGAGTGGGCGTGATGAGACCATTAATCGGACCGGCAGGGTCACGGTATGGTGATTGGCCGTGATGCAGCTAAATACCGTCGAGTCTCTACGCTGGGCGAGGGGGATGCGGGCCACCCAGCCGGCCCAAAACGCCTGCCTCCTGCGCGCGGGGGTGGCGAAGAGTGGTGCTCCGCTTTGGCCAGTGACAGAGCTGGTTTGATGACCACAGGTGAGCCGACCCTCCCACGTTCACCAAGCTGGTGACAAGTGAGCATACTCCCGGGCCGACGCGTACGTTCTCAGGGCATGTCGTCAGTCGTCACCTGATGCCTTTATGCCTGTGCATGACAGGGTTATCCTTATGTATTGGTCACATCCGTACTCCGTAGTGCTATAAAATTTGCCGAAGACGTAAGGCCCATTATTTCAGCGCAGTTTCACTTTATCAGTGTTTATACCAGGGGGGTGACACGGCTATTCGCGCAATGTATTAATTTATGGGCCGCGCGGGGCCTCGCTATGACGCGGCTGGAGGCAACTGCTCAGCGCGCTAGGATACTTCTGGCGGGGCGGGGCGCTGAACGGTGTGCAATGAATGGGTTATGGTCGGGCAGACAGAGATGAGGTATTGAATTTGAATTGACATCAGCAATCGGGTGGGGAAGGAGAACGTTTCTAATCGAGCTTGGGATGGGGAAAGCCAAAAATATCGCGATCGGCTCATAGCTCAGGGCCGGGTGCCGTACCAACTACCATGTGTTGTATATTTAGGCGGGCAGACAGAGATGAGTTATTGGATTTAAATTCACCTTACCATCGGTTTCTGGTGGGGTTTGAAGACGTTTTTAGTCAAGCTCGGAGTGGGGCAACCCACTGGCGGATCCAGGGGAAGGCATTTGGGGCAAATGTCTTCCCCCTCATTGGCAGCGCCCGAAATCGCTTTTCGAGAATCAAAGAAAACTTCACAACTTTTCTGAGGAAATGTTGGTTAATCACACCGCACAGCAGTGCGCAAGGAATCGAAATCAGAATTTTTTAAATTAATTCCGAGAAACCTTTTGTGGGGTAAGCCCGCAGTGTCCAAGACCGCTTCCTGGATCCGCCAGTTGTGAATAAGTCACGGTCGATACCGAGCTTCGGCGGGACCAGGCGCTGTATACGTTGTTCTTTCAATGAAGAGGTGGACAGACACCTAGCCCCACATCCTACTGCTATGCCCGTGCTTCTGTGGGTGAAGCACTAAAGCATCACGGAATCCCACAGGACCCAGGGCCTCCTCTAAGGATTTTTCACTGGGTGGGCAAAATTTTTCGCCGCTCCCCTGTCCAAGGGCGGATCCAGCAACTTGTTTTGGGGTTCAACCAATTTCAAAACCTGTGGCCGGGGGGGGGGGGGGAGGCGAAATAAGCTGTGCCATTATTGGAAACAAGATGATAGTTTGCAAAGTTAACGTAAACTTACCATGTCCATTATCCATGATTGCTCCTTGAAGCAGAAATCTAATGTTCGCGGCCTCTTTTTAGGAGGCATGGTCAGCTTACTTTTGACGCGTCCTCTGCATCTATAGTTATATGCGGCCTAATATTGACATTAACCCTCGCCCTCGCCGGGCCAGGGAGGTTGATATGCAACCCCCCTTAATTTTTCGCAAGTAACGTAAAAACGGCGGCGCGTAGCGCCGCCAAATTTGGCATAGGTACTCTCTGGAACAGCCTTATGACACCTTCCCTTAAAATTTCAGGTCTCTGCTGTTTTAGGTCAGGTCACCACTACCATGGTCACTAAAACCGGTACAATAACAGGGTAAATTGGACTATATTAGCGGCGACGGAATCGCTGAGTTTATCGTTTATAGCGTAAGAACCATAAAACTTAGCGTCACCAAATTTGAGACACAACTTGGGGCAGCCATTTGACGTGTGACCTGAGAGTTTTGTGTTCCAATGACCTCAGGTCAGACTCAGGTCACAAGGTCACAAAACCGGTACATGGCAAAAATGGCACTGAAAATACGCTATTTTGCCAATGAAATCTAGAGTTGTTCTTGATTCAAACTGGCAGGGTATGCTATGCTCACCGAGTTGTATAACCAACATCCAGGTTTTCCAAGTTCGGGTGACCTGAGGTCATCTAGAGGTCACGAATGCTTCCAATGATTAAGAAACAACTTGAAGTGAGTGGGGCACTGGGGCACTGGCTGCTAGCTAGTTTTTCTTTTCGGGAAACCGAAGTGGTAGTACCTACCGGACGTTCGGCCGGACCTTTATTTTTGCATTTGCTTCTGGGTGGGCAAATCGACGCCACTGGGTGGGCATTTATGGTGACTGGGTGGGCATTTGCCCACCCAGTGGGTATGTTAGAGGAGGCCCTGACAGGACCTGCGAGTCGACGAGGTGGCCGCTTTGGCCGCCGGGTACTGCAGCTCCCTGGAGAAATAGACCGGCTTGCCGAGCCGGCTTGCCTAAAAATAGACGGTCAGATTCGGCCTGGGTCCTTACGACCCCTCTAGATTCGCCAGAGACGGGATCGGATCGCCGTTATTGCACCCGTCTTAGTGTCTTTAATACTATGACAGCTTCGACCACGGACGTCGGACGGGGTGATCGTACTCCACGAATGTACGCACCATCCAGGCCTAGGATGCATCGAGGTTTAAAAGAATGCAGTCTGTAGATCAATCAACATAACAATGGTGGTATGCAACCACATTAAAATATCTCCCCGGCTCCCGCAACGTTCCAACGCCCCTCCGTTATGCATTCGCCTTGTGTGTCCGCCGAGCCGGCTTGCCTCCAATGACGTCATCGGCCGGCCGGCGGCGTTCAAGGTCAAACGGCTGGTGTCCTTACCTGGAGTTCTATAGCCTTGGTTTATACGACCATTTTATGGAGCGTTGATGCCTCAGGAGATCGGATAACGACCCAGATGAAGTGTGAGAGACTGAGCGGCTCCCTTCGGGACCTATCCGGCTGTGATTTGATCCGTTCCATGACGGCGTTGCGGATCGGTGCGCTTTGTGAAATGTGACACCCGCGTGCGTATCCCGGCGACTGACGCGTGCCACTCCGATGCCGAGTCAGTCGCCCCTGTCCAGTGTAAATGGTTAGCTCTGGATGAAGTCTAGGGAACCAGAGGAGTGTAAGATCATGCGGCAAGGTGTGCCAGATTATAACGACGAGTCATGGCTCGGCCGGCGTTCAATCCCAAGTAATGATCCACTCCGCGGTTGTAGCGGTGGCATTGAGACACACTTCATCTTCGGCTTGGGACGGGCGACACGACACATACTGCCTTGCACGACACCGTGTCACATCTGGAGACAGACGACACGGCACAGTGTCAGTGACACCGCGGCACGCTCCGTCCTGACGGCCCGTGCACGGCGGGAAGGCAATCACCGAGCCTCGGCGACGGCCGTCTGTGGTCGATCCGTGTCCGGTGTCCTATGTCCGCTATGTCCGGTTGTCCGATGCTCTATGTACAGTGTCCTGTATCCGCTGTGTGTCCGCTTGTCCGATGTCCTGTGTCTGGGTGTCCTGTGTCCTATACAATGTCCGGCTGTTTATGGCCGGTGGTCCAATGTCCTCAGCTTGCACGCACGGGTTGGCTTGGCAGAGGTGGACGAAAAATCGGTCTGCAGATGCGAGATAAGCAGCCGCAGTGTAAATATGTGAAAAGCTAACAGATCAATCACATCCGACACACATCGGTCGAGGAAAACTGCGATTGATTGATGGGTGCTGCAGGCTGCACGCTGTAGCGCGTGACGTCGGGGCGGCTCGACCGCTTCCGGTCGGTTCAAGTTTCTACTCCAGTTTTCACTGCGCCTGCCTCCTCCGCCTCCCGCCCTATGCGTCCTCGCCCACTTCCGTCACACACACCTGCCCTGCCTCCTGGCTTCAGGCCAGCTCCTTTACACGCGTGTCTTAGACGTTATCATTATAAGAAAATCAGATAAATAATGCTCTAGTAAATTATTTTATCAGATATTTTAGACGTTCCGCCTGTTGCCAGGTCATTGGGGCGGGGGCGGGGGCGGGTTGTTGTTTGGGGCGGGGGAGGGGTGCAAAGCTGTCTGTCCGAATGTTGGCGGCAGAGTTGTCGATCACTGTCCGTGAGATGTCTGTCTGCCCTAGGTCGAACTACGTCGGACCGATTGGCCCAGCGATTCTCCGAATAAATTCCGTCTGACGGACTCGAGGGAGCTTACCGGACGGTCCATTCTAGAAAAGTCACACCGTGAAGCTCGGCGTTCGTCTGTTCTGACAACAATTCCGTCGTCGTTTCCAGGTGTCTGGCGCCTACCCGGAGCAGCACTATGACCTGGTGGTGCGGCCGGCGGCCGGCCCGTGCGGCTGCGGCGCCGGTCCGCCGCCGCCCCCCCGCCCCGGTTCGCGGTGCCGCCCCCGCCCGCGGACCCGGCCTGGGCTGCGCCGGAGAGGACCTGTGTGACCTGCTGGCACCGGCTGCTGTGTGCCGTGCTCGATCGGGAGTGACGGCCGCCAGTGACTGCCGCCGGTCGGACCCTGTACTGCTATTGCACACCTTTTTAATTAAAGTTCTCAGCTTTTCCGAACAGTTTCGTGACTGTTTTTGTCAGTTCGTCAACGGTACAAGAAACATAAACCATTTTTTTATTTGGAACGGCGACATCTTTTTACTGATGATTAATGATAATTTTTTGATATATTGATCAGTAGGTAGGTAGGTTAATTTTAATTATATTGTTCATTAGCCTACAAATTAGTAAAGTTTTTGCTTATTTTACGTATTATTTATTTTAAAGTCAATTTTATTACCGGAGGGCCCTGCGCCCCTGACCAAGAAAGGTTCCAATGTGTTGTGACCCCGCCGTGCGCCTCTGACAGGGTCTGACGGCCGTGCCGGACCCGCAGTCGACTCCGTCGCAGTCGATGCTGGCCGCCCTCATCACCACGTCGCTGTTCCTCTTTATTGTACTCGTCGCCGGAACCATATTCTTCTGCAAGTGAGTGTCCGTCTCTCGCAGTTATAGGCTCACTGAGCAAGCGCATGAGCAGCGCTCGGGAAATATGTTATATTGGATTGCTGGGGTCTCTATTTCATTTGAAACGGTATCTCATATGCCTTTGCGCTAAGCAAATAGACACTTCTAAGTTGTACCTTGTTAAACATGAGCGATAGGTATAGGTATATGATATGTTTAACGACTGTGTTTGCTTTGAACCATCGGACCATTTTGATAAGAAACTCGATAAATGTGGTTCACCTCAGCAGCGCTCACATTTATACCATCTCACATTCCTGTACATACACTAGACGCCATTATTAGGCTTGTTATACGGTGCCGACAATTTGACGGTAATTTTTCAAATCTGAGGCGACGTGTCGGGAATACCACAGACCACGTAATCTGGCGAACTCTCACGAATTATCCAAAATGACGATGTAAGTGATCTGTATTGGCGATGATCGTCCAATAGCGCCGGTTCGGAGCGATGGGCGGCCCATTTCAGTCTCGGGTATACGGGCCAGCTGCGGGACCGGGCCGTTATTTGTTCGGCGGCGCCCTCCGGCGGTCGGCTGTGGCTAGCACACGACCGCAGTCACGGAGTGGTGCAGCCCGGTGGATCGCTCACACATGGTGCTGGAAGTCGTATAGAAGTGTCATCAGTTGGTCGTTGAGCCGTATATGGATGTGTATGACTCCTGTTCGGCACTTCGTCATAGCATTAATGCGTCCTCCTTCGACGGCCAAAATAATTATCTTTTTATTAAAGACGGTATAAACAAAATAATGGTCTTCTCATAAGATTAGTGACCAGATCCAAATGAGATATATGCACCTATATCTCATTTGGATATATCTCTTTTAGTTCATAGCTGGCAGTCCGTGAGCTGCGGCGGAGACTATTCACACGTCAGCACGCTGCCCTGTCGTGGGGTGACGGCCGTACTGCGAGGGCTCTCAGTCCCGAAATAGACGTCTTCCCCGGGCCTGACGGGCCGAGAATGCGCGCTATGGCAGTTGTGTGTGTGTGTGTGGGGGGGGGGGGGGCTGCTGAGTGCCGACACCGAGCCGGGGCTGGGGTGCAGAAACAGCCGCGGGCAGGATACCGACCAAGGGGTGGGGGAGCTGCTGACTTACTAAACGTCGCATAAATATTGTAGCTGCTTATTACGCACCAATGAAGAAGAAGGTACGTCACGTTCGTTGTGTTATATCGCCCGCACTTCATCGTCCCATCGTAAGTGACGGACGTAAAAATAACATTTCCTTTCTGTTTCCTCTTTACGGGCATTTTCTGCCACACTTCAGCGCCTGTGCTTTGTAACGAATGGGCACGTTGCCGCCGAACTGCGTGCCTTTCCGCCGTTGCAACCCTACAATCAAATGGTTCGTGCGTTTTACTGCCGGAATGTGTCACCAAGCGGCTGTCACTGGTGTGGCACCACCTGCGCGTCGGTGAACCCCGGTGACGTGTCCACGGCTCATACCCGCCCACCCCGCGAGGTGTGAACACATCACACGGGCCGCTGCCGGCCGCCACCGGTCGGCCCTCACGCGAGCAGTGTGCTTGCTTCCGAGCCGTTTCACACGGGCACAATGAGCGCCGCGCTCCAGCAGCGGTGCGCTCTCAGGCCGCGCCGCAATGGCCGAGAAGCGCTACAATCGGCCGCCTTCCGGTGGGTTTTGGTGTGAAGAGGGAGCTGCTGGGGCGTACAGAGGCCACCCGGTGGCCGCTGCGGTCGGTACGGATGGACCGACGCGGACGTCAGACTTTGGCGGTGTGTGCCGAACAGACCAGTCAGAGGGCCGATTAGATCAACAACGAGGTCACTAAGACTACTTAGTGTCAGTTCCGGGATTGTCCTAATTAAGTTGAAACTAGCTCTATTTGCGACAAAGGCAGTCGCTTATGCATGATATTCAGGCGGACTTCAAGCATGGCCTCAGTCCCATACATACTTCAGTTGGGGTTTCAACCTTCGTGATCGACCGTCGTATTGCATGGTCTGCTCACTGCTGGCCCGTACCTACCTATATAACTCCCAAAACCGTCCTCCGTGCATGTTGACTGGTAGGGCCGATGGTCCATTCAGTCAGCCAATCGTAATTGCGTGCGTTGAGGTTATGCTGAGAGCTCATCAGTGACCGGTGATAAATGAGTTAGTTCATTACCTAATGCAGCTGACGTATCTATCCAAGGTCAGATAACCGGTCTCGGCGCCGCGCCCGACGCATCGTCGCGCTGCCGGTGTCCGACGGAAGCCGCTGCGGCGTGTGCCGCACGGAACGCAGTGTGTTTGGAGCGACCTGTGCTGTGTGCGCTATGCAGTATTCACGACTGATGCCGGCACCTGAGCGTAACCGGTATACGGCACCGAGAGAAATAGCGCCGAGAATGCAGTCTCATCAGTTTAAAAGTTGGTGACATGAGGATCGTCTATTTTACCAGGATACCTGAAATGGCCCATTAGCCGGTATTCCCAAGGTAAAACTTAGGAATAGCTATGCAAGAAAACCGATTAATTAGATGGACAGACAACTCGTGTTTCCATGTTTCCCCCATCTCACTCCCAAGTGCCGTTACATGCTATCGATTCCGCTAAAATTTTGATTGTATGTTTGGAATTTACGGTTATTAACGATTATGTAATGTTCCCTGATGTGCCGCAGACACCGGCGGAAGCTGGCCAGTCTGATGGTCACCTCGGCTGCCGATAAGAGGGGGGAGGTGTCCCGGGCCCTGTACGACGACCTGTCGAGGAGGCCGCACCACGGAGCACCGACCGGCCTGCGCTCCGGCGGTCCACACATCGAGGTAATGAATACGGCGGCGACCGGCACTTCACAGGACAGCTTTATTATATCCCCAGTTACCAAGTGTCGTAAAAGGTGTTATGTGATTTACATTTACATACGTGTGATCCACTTTGATATTGCCGCTTGGTTTGTCTTCCGTTGTGACCATGAGCTACTGCATCACGGTGTAATTATCGACTAACCCTGTGTGACCCTGTAGTCTGCAGGGTGTGTTACATAGTCCGCGATACTCCCTATTGGTCTTTACCCGATGTTATACATTACACGATACTTACTCCCTATCAGTCGTTACCCGGTGTTATACGTTTAAGTCACCCCCTGTAACCCGGTATATTTCTACCCCCTATGTAGCCCTGTGATGGTGATGCAGCCTTTCCTTGGGGCCCCACGACTCGGTGTAACACCAGACCATCCAGACCCATTAGGGTACCCAGTCTGACCTGTCTGTTCCGCTGCCGTCTCGTCCCCAGATGGTGGCTGTGAAGTCGGGTCGGCTGCCGCCGCGGCTGCTGCCCGGCGTCCCGGTTGACGCGGGCAGTGGCACGCTGTTCTTCTATCCACCGGCGCCGTCCCTCTCAGAGGAGGGGTCGGAGCGGCTCTCCAACATGTACGAGGAGATACCCTACTACGGTACGTACGGCCCTACACCTGACAGTCAATAGCATACTCTTACGCATTAGATAAGATACCGTCCCTCGTTACGGTACAGTTACACAATGCACAGGTTATGAACACAAAGCTTCCTTATCCACGGTGCATAACTACGTGCGGCTCTCCATAGAGGGGATTCCTATCCTCTCTTGGAGTTGAAATCGTGGGGGACATATTCTGTTTGTCGCTATTAGCTTTGTTCATTAATGTGACGTGACCCCCTCCACAGACTCGCAGGTCTGGCAGCGGACACATTCTCCCTAGTGCTCCCTTCCCACTGACCCGCACACGCCCCGTACTTGACGCCACGTCTCCCCTCCACACTCCACAGGCCGTCCGGCTCCGTCCGTCTCAAACTACTCCGACTCTGACGAGGACGCCATCAGCCACCCGTCCGGAGACCCGGAGCCGGAGCCGGAGCCGGGTGGTGTGTCTGGAGGCCGGCCGGAGCCGCGGTACGTCTGCTCAGTACCCCCAGCAGCGACCGGGAGCCGGCGGCGCTCCGCCCGCCCGCGTCACCACCCGGCACTGCGCAGGAAGGACCCCTACTACTACTCGGATATCTTGGAGCGCCACGAGCCGGGCCGGGCTGAAGGTGTAGATGTGGCTGCGGTGGCGTATCGAGGACCTCGAGACCAGCGAGGCCCGCTAGCGTCTCGACTGGCGCCGGACCCGCTTCCAGACCTATACGGTGGCCGGTCCGGCGCCTCCCGCGCACAGGCCAATAAACTGAGCTCGTTCAGGCCGGGTGGGTCGACGGATCATACCGGCGCAGACTCTGAGGTGTATGTGAACTCGAGTGGTCGGCTGCGGGCTGGCTATGGTGGCAGTGGGAGAAGTCGGCGGACGCATGACACTTGACCGAACGGGGGATGTAGAACGTCGATCCTCACCACATATGGGCTAAAGTGCGTGCTTCTGTGAATGAAGGTGTGTATTATGTGTGTCTGTAGCAGTCAGGTGAATGCAATGGGCGACCTTCACAGTGGAGTTCGATCTTCGCTCGGCTTGAAGCGATAGATACCACAGTGATTGTCGTGTCCGGGTGGTCTATGTTTTGCTTTGTTTTGTTTGTTTTTGGTCATGCAAGTAATTAACTGAGTTACAGCTTTGTAATGTCATTCCGGCGTGCTTAAATCGCGCATTGCGTGATTTAGTAACGCACTGGCGCGCCCTGCAGTACTGTGTACTGCCTCCGTATGTGTAAATCAACTGTGATAGTGACCATTGTGATGCAGCAATAGGAAAATAAACCCAGGTGATAACTGTCCGTATTATCACTGTCCACTGACTGGTGGTGATCATTTGTCTGATTCAGTGTTCAGACATGATCCAGCCCACCCTTGGGCCGGACCGACGGATCATAAGCGGTGTTTCTCGTTTGGTGTGCCGGGGTAGGACCAGGCAGGACGTTATACCCCGGGCCTCGAAGTCGCTCCAAGCAAAAGGCAGGCGAATCACAAATGAAGCGGCGATTTAATGTGCTGTTGAATGACCGTCTGAACTCTGAAGCCATCGGCACATGCCGCGTGAATTGTAACGCTGTCACCTCCCTGGGACGGTGGGCATTTGACGGCGTTATGCCATACTACAGCGCCACCTGTGTACTGGATCTGTGTGTCTCTAAAATGGTAGTGATGAAGTCTGCCGCTAGGGGTGCTCGGGACAACGAGAGGCCGGGGCGTGGGAGTGAATGATCGCTATTCTGATAATCTGATTCACTTCAATTGCAATCAGGGATTGGAAGACACCTTATGCCTATGTAGCCTTTGCGTTTTATTATCTTTATCTCTACGTCTCATATTACACATGTCGCACGCGGCGAAACAGGAGCTCGACGATTCTCCGTGGGGGCATTGATGTACCGTCTCACCGTCTTACGTCTCAGTCACGCACGGAGCATAAATAAAGAGCTATGGTCGCTACAGGTACCTACCCACAAGGAAAAGGCCATAGCCTATGAGCTTAAAATCGTGTCCACGTCCATACTGATACCGGTGGCCGTTCTGATGAAAGGGCGTTCGGCTGCCCCGCCCCCTTTCGGTCCGATAGGAACCAGATAGGGACATTCCGATTCGCGTCGAGAATCAAGGACCGCCCTTCATGTGATTCTTAACAGCCTAGAAAAATAAGCGTCACGTCAATGATAGGTGATACCTAGTCTACTAGAGAAGTGCGAGGTCCCGCCTCCCCCCCCCCCAAATCCGCCCGTAAATCGCAATCGGCCGCGCATATTTGCGCTCCTCCGGCGGTCGCCGGTCACGCGGTCTCGACGTCACGTTGAAGGCACGTGATCGTTTTTTGTACACTAAGCATATAGTACCATTGTGACCCACCGTTTGGCTTAGAACTTCATGTCTATCAGAAGAAGTTTGCTGAAAATTGCATGTGCGATAACTTTAATTAAGAATAATCATAACATACTCCATAAAACCCAAGATAAAAACGAAAAGAATGCGCTTAGGATGTGCTATTGCGCCACCGCCATCTTGTCACATGACTTCGATGTTTGGTCCCGTGACCACGAATCACCTGTTCCGGGCAGCCGTGTTCCGTGTGGGGTGTAGATGCTAAGATTTTGAGTATTTGGTATTGTTTTGGTGGACTTTGCGATGTTGTGAAGCTGGAAATAACATCATGCACATAGGTTTGTAAATTTGCCAATTTCTGTCGAATCCAATTTGTACGGATTAGAACGCAGTCAGTCTGAAGCTGATACCGGCTTTAGTGCTGAGTGTTTCTATATTTTTCTTTACTGTTGAAATAATAATTCAAAGCCATTGCTACATTTGTTAGTACTGTATAATCTGGCTCAGTCATATATGCCTGTGTATTCCAAGTAATTCTGTAATCGCAGAAACACATGCGTGTTGAGCATTTCAGTGTAGATACCTAATGTTAAATGTAAATGTTTGTAAGGTAGGTAATGTTTAAATTGAAATAATCCATCCAAAGTAGTGTGTGCAATTTATGACATGCGGATACAGGTACAATTATTACATCACCATGAAATGCAGGCATCAGTCATGCACATTGATTGAATCTCACTGCCTGTGAATTAACTAATTCAAATTGAGCAACTCCTGCCTCATTAAGGAAAAGTAAATTTCAGCAGGTACCTCTGCACACTGGTTTGCATTTGTATGTCTATTTTGTTGAAATGGCCCATAGTTATCGGTGTGTGCATGCAGCATTTTCAGCAGTACAGTGATTGTGTTATCCCCTTGCTTTATTTACAATTTTAGGTGAGAGTGCTGTTGCAACAAATAAATGCTTTGAAGGAACTATCACAACAGACAACTGTACTTGCAGCATAAGGCACACTTGATTTCATAGTTTACATATGTTTATAATGTCCAGCAAATATCTGTGACTGAATGCTTAACAGACTATTTAGCTTTGAATAAAGAGGCAAGTCCTCCATCTGTTAAACAGATAAAGGACTTGCCTCTTTTTTCAAAGCTAAATAGTTTGTTACCAAGCCCTAAAGCTTGTTTTTGACATTGACATGTGTGTCTTGTTTCAGGTTTGATGGTGACCAGGAATGAATGAAGGAGAAAATAAGGAAGTGATACCTCAAAATCTGGCGATAGTTCAATACGGGTAAGAAGTGTTTCCATTTGCACAGCTGACTATGTTGTAAATCACAATCCTTCCACCTAAGGACTAGTAAAGCAGTGTGCAAATGTATATCAGTGATGCAAGTAATCAATTTCCAAGTGTCATAATCAGTCAGAAGACTTAAATTATGGGAAAAGGCTGAAAAAGTCATCAGGCTGCACCAAAGAGCTGTTAATATGATGTTGGGTTTGCTGAACTCTGATGTCTACCAATTCTGATTATTGTTCATTTGTAAGGTTTGGCAGTTATTCAGCAGAATTATTGGTCTCACTCTCTGGCCATGTGCCATGACTGCCCAGTAGGTACAGTGCCAGACATTGTTTGGTGGTGCACTCATGACTCAAGACAGCAGCACTGCTCTATATTCAATAAAAAACTGTGAAAGTCCCATCTTATGGCATGTAAACACTAAGCACACATTCTGTTTTTAGATCAAAATTGTCCTCCATTTCACAGACCATTTTAGCTGGCTTTTATCTCACAGGCACTGGGTCTCAAAGTGGCTTTACTGGCACTAGTATAGGAACAAGAGTATAAGAGATCAATTGAAATTAGTTGATTTTTAGTATTCTTTATCATTTTTTGTGTGACTGTTATTTTATTGGTATGATTTTTTTGCTATTGTTTTGTAGGTTTTTATACAACTATTGACAAAGTGATTTAAGAGAAAAAGTAAAGATTGACAGCAGCCAGGAACTTCACGAACTCCTTTAGCTCGATATACAGGCTAGAGCCTGTATTCCATTGAAATGGCGACATTGACGTCCCTCAAACCCGAGACCTTCGTTTAGGCCGTGCTGTCCCTGACTCTGCCCCTCTTTGTGTGCCCCACAGGGATAAGGAGAGCAATGGCCGAGACCCGGACAGTCCCATGCAGTTGCAGTATTTCAAGGCTGGAGGTGCGCCTCCAGGCAAGTACCAACACACGCCGGATGGTCTCAGACTAGCAGATGTGTGTACGCGGGGCATCAGCAGCAATCTGGGGCTGGGCACATTCGGCCGGAAGCACGTGAAATCTCTTTCTCTCACTAGTCACGTAACCTCACCGCGATGTTTTTGCTGTGTGTGGATGGGTATTGGAGCACGCGGAGCAGTCGGCTGGAAATGTGTTACGTGTATGGCCGGGACAGTACCTGACTCGACAATGATCGTCCAGCGCGTATGACCTTTCCGAACTTTCGACCCTCCTAGCCTCCGCAGAGGACATGCATTAGCCTGACCGCCCCGACATTCTGTTCATAGCAGGCATGACTTACCGCGTGGTACACATCAACACGGGATCGGGCGGCGGCGGCGAGGTGGTTCAACAGTCTCTGGGAGGCGCAGCGGCGGCGACCACGGCGGCCGTGGGCGGCGGCGGCGGCGCGCAGGGTCTGCTCGGCGCGACGGCGACCGGCGCGGAGGTGGCCGACGCCCAGATGGCCTACATCCCGTCCGGCACGACGGCCGGCGACCAGCTGGCGACGCTGAGCGCCACTGGATCGGGTGAGGGTACTGGACACACGGTGGGCATACCGGGAGGACAAACCAACCTTCTTTTATCTTTATCATCAGCTGGCGACGCTGAGCGCCACCGCTGAGCGCCACTGGATCGGGTGACGGTCACTAGCGCCATCTCCCGAAATGGAATATGTCGATCCGACCGTTATGGTATTTCCGGACATCAGGAATCTGCGTCTGTTCAAATAGTTCGATACTGATACTGATCCTCCTTGTTGACCTGCCTTTGATAATCTAAAGAGGCTAATGCTGGGTAGCGAGTGCGTCCCATGCATTCTACTCACGTTATACATACTGTTTGAGTTCCACGTGTTACTGTTTGAGTTCCACGTATCCATGTGAATTCTGTAGCGTTGATGATGGTGTATAGCGTGTACCCATTATCCATACAAAGTGTCTATGCTGATGGAGCGTGTCCTCACGGCCTTCTCTCCGTCTCGCAGGCGGGTTCTATGTAATCAGCAGTCCACAGGAGGTGACGATACCGAGCGGTGGCAACCGCACCGGCGGCCGCTGCGAACTACACCGGGATGACCGGCGGCGGGCCACCCATAACGAGGTGGAGCGGCGGCGGCGAGACAAAATCAACAGCTGGATCACAAAGCTGGCCAAACTGCTGCCCGATAATGGCGACGCCGCTAAACAGAACCAGGTACGGGCGGTTAGAGGTACTGGCAGGGGCCCTCGACTCTCGGTCGTACCCAGGATTTAGGCCTGCCCTGGCCCTGTATCTGATAATTATTATGCGAATTTAAACTTACTTGTGCTGTTCGTATTCGTCAGATCAATTGTGTTAATTATGTGAATCAATCATAATATTGCTGCAACTCAATGAGCATAGTTCTCAGTAGCAATGGCCAAAATCCTCGCCTCACCAGTAAGCTCCCTGTAATCGGCTTGCTTTGTGGTCCGTGCCACTCGTGTGTCGTGTAGTTAGGCTCATCAGAGACGCCATTTGCTTATTATGGGTATTGGGTGTATTACCGATGTGACCGCGTGTAGGGTATCCGACTGCCGACATCCTTGCGATAGTCTGACGCCTACCGACCTTTTACAACTGACACTGACCGGCGGCTCTCTGTTGCAGAGCAAGGGCGCCGTGCTATCACAGGCGTGCGACTACGTGCAAGACACGCGCGGCATGCAGCAGAAGTACATGGACCTGGTGCGGGACAACGAGAAGCTTCTCGAGGACATCAAAATGCTCAAACAGAGTAACGAGGCGCTGGTGACGGCCAACCAGCTGCTGAAGGCGCACCTGAAGAGCCAGGGCGCCGTGATTTTGGACGCCGATCAGGCGGCGTCCGGATCGCACTGACGCCGGCACTGGCGCCGTACGGGCGCCGCGCGGCGGACAGACGTGGCCCAGTGAGGGGCGCGCGGGGCTCCGGGCCGCCGTGTGGCCCGGAGCCCGGCCCAGGACCAGGACCAGGGCTCCGTGCTCGGGCCGGCCGCAGTTTCAGTACTCGTGGGCATGCCGCACCGGGCGGCGGGCTGTGGTGGACGTGCCGGCGGCGACGACGCGATCGGTGGCGGCCGCGGATGGCTGCAGCCATACCAAACTCATTTAGTTCACCCATATCCACAGGACCGTAGTGAGCAGTGGCTCGCAAGCGTGTCTTGAAGTCGGCTATTCTCGAGTGTGGCTTGAGAACGTGTTATGTTGTGTGTTAGTGTGCGTGTCTGCGACATACCAGGCGCAATACAATGCTGGACTGTGGCGGGTGGAGTTTGATTTGGGCGCGCACTGAGGGGGGTTGGGGGGCTGGATGTTGGACTGTGGCGGGATGAGTTTGATTTGGGCGCGCTGAGGAGGGGAGGTGGGACGGGGAGCTGGGTGGGTTCCGTACACGTGACACCATTCCTGGACCGATGCCAGACGGCAGAGCACTGCCGCCACTGGCGATCAGTCGGGTCAGGTCCAGCGGCGGGGACATCCGTCGGTCTCTGTTTATTGTGCTGACAAAGCCAGCCACTTACCAGTGCAGGGCGGATAAAACCGGTAGGGTGTTCGGGGTGGCATGTTTTGTGCCGTAAGCCGTTGTTAGTGTTGGCTGCGCGGCAGAGTGTCCGGAGGCAGTGCAGATCAGGATGCGCACTTACGGCTAGTACTGAGCTCAGGGCAGTCTGTGTTGAACTGAGAGTTGTGGTGGGCGGTGGTGAGCTGGTAATGAAGGCTGGTGGGGACTTTTGCTGTGCTGGTGGGAGCTCTGGCGCTGAGCTGGTGATGGTGGAGATGCTGAGCTGATGAAGGCTGTCTCTAAGCCTGTCAGCGCCGTGTTGAGCTGGTTGCTCCACTCGCTGATCTAGACTACCGAGCCGAGCCATGCTGCTCGGCGTGCGCTCGTCGGCCCGTCACGGCCGGCCGGCCCGCCATCTGCGGCTCCTGCAGGCCGCTGCCGCTCAGCTGGAGCCCGACTCGGAGCTGGACTTCTCCGACCCCAGACAGGTGTTCGACAAGAAGTCGACGCCCGAGCTGGTCCGCTCGCTGGCCGTCCTGAAACTGTGCTCGCAGGACTGGTTCGTCGACAACGCGCTACCGGTAGGTGCAATTATTCCACACATTATCTCTTGAAAGTTCATCTCGACATGTGCCCGCCCGCTAACGTAAAAGGACGTTTACGAAATTGAACACCTTAGCCCTGACTTGTTGACGGTCGCTATATCCATGAATTATTATTTTGTATGCTTGGAAACCCCGTCTTTACTGTGTCCATGTGTCTATACGAGTATATATGTGCGCTATGTCTTGTCATCCGACTCTGACTGGCTACCGCTGTGTCTGCTGTGTCAGATCCTACGCGGCTCTGAGCGCCTTCTCGGTCGCCGGCTGCTGCTGGCGCTTGCCCGGCCGCTCTACAGCCAGTTCGTACCGGGGACGTGTGAGGCTGACCTGGCTCAGGCAGCTGCGCGACTCCGGCGGACCGGCGTACGACTCGTGTTCGCCCATATGCTGGAGGACGACTTACGGGAGGGCCAGACACTGTGAGTGCAAGGGAACGTCGGACCGTGTGGGTGGTGAGATGTGGTCAGACATTAGGGGGAGAAGTGAGAGACAGTAGGATCACTGATCCAATTGGTGGTGGGCTATCCGTTAGGCCTTGTAGCACGACCTTTCCGCCAGACCTTTGGGACCTCCGTCAGATACCACTACGAGAGGTGGAGCCTCTTAGACACTGCAGAATGTGTATGTATAGTGCTGGATGCCATTCGTTACCTAGTGTGTCCCTGGGCCCTGGAGAGCAGCGACTAATGTCTTGCCGGCCACAGCGATCCCCTATCTCTACCCTGACACCGTGTCTGCCGTGTCGGTCGGCAGGTCCGCTCTGCTGGACGATAACCTGGCGCTGACGCTGCACCAGTTCGGCATGGCGACCCGGGTGACGGCCGGGGAGGCGCACCCCTGCACCCTGCTCAAGCTGACCGGTCTGGTGGCAGTGCCGGCGCTGGCGGCGCTGAGTGGCGCTCTGACCGCCGCGCCGGCTGACCGGCTGACCCGACTGACTGAGGGAGTGGCCACCCAGCTGTCCGGGGGTCCCTGGTACCGGCTGGCAGAGCTGACCGAGGAGCAACAGCGGCACTGGGACGACGGACTCGCCAGACTGCGTGCCGTCGGTCAGTGGGCTGAGTATATCGACGTTTGAACTAGGGCTTTCTCACCTCCTTTCTGGGCTCGGCTTACGAAGAAGAACCGTTTTAACAACATAGAGCTGGGCAGAAGGGTATCACGATTCACAGACACTGAAGAGTTCGTTTCGTGTAAATTGTTTGGCTTATGAAGGACTAATCCCTGGCCAGCAGTGTAACTGTGTATTATTTCTCACGGTATAAACGGCATGAACAGGTGCGCCTTTATCAAATACATGACCCCGCAGCACGATATCCCGTCTGCTGACACTGTCACTGTGTGTCCAGGCGAGTTTTGTGAGCGGCACAGTCTCCGTACTATGGTGGACGGCGAGTACTCGTACACCAACCCGGCCATCGGTCTGCTGACACTGGCGCTGGCCGCCAACTTCAACACTCGGGTGAGTGAGAACGCACGTACCTAATATGTCATGTGACCCTAGTCAGCGGCAGCCAGCGACTCCCGTAAAATGTTCCGATGGACACGAGACGAGCACCTGGGCTGCAGAATTTACACGCGGTAGGCTGCAAATTAGAGGTCCTTGTGATTCACGATTTTTTACAATATGTTGATAATGCTATCTTATACTCACAGTATGTGTCGTATGGTTCTTATCTTATGATGCATCGTGGCACATAAAAGCTTCATGCTTCCCTGTTTTGACTAGTACCATTATCTACCAACGATCGGCCAACCCGCCCTCACTGGCCCCATTCTTTGCCGACAGAATCCCCTGATCTGGGGGACGACCCGCCCTCACTGGCCCATTCTTTGCCGACAGAGTCCCCTGATCTGGGGGACGACCCGCCCTCACTGGCCCATTCTTTGCCGACAGAGTCCCCTGATCTGGGGGACGACCCGCCCTCACTGGCCCATTCTTTGCCGACAGAGTCCCCTGATCTGGGGGACGACACAGTGCTACCTGAGGGACGCCGAACAGACCCTCACCAGGCACCTGTCGGTGGTCGACAGCCTGGGAGTCTCCTACGCAGGGATGCGGAGCCGTGGAAATTTCAGACGGCTCCGGCTCCGGCTCCGGCTCCGGAGAAAAAATCGGCTCCGGCTCCGGCTCCGGCTCCGGGTGAAATGTTATGGCGGCTCCGGCTCCGGCTCCGGCTCCGAGTAAAATGGTCCGGCTCCGGCGGCTCCGGCTCCGGCGGCTCCGGCTCCGACTCAGTACATCCCCTATGCAATCAATTAAATACGGGTGGAATAAAAATTGGATGGGTTATACGCGTTACTCTTTGCCATGACCGGCTCATCGCGTCCCCGCGCAAACGCACCTCGGAGAGAACTGGCAGAACAAAGGACTAGGAAGCGATGGCATTGGAAACGCAGTCGCCGCGAATCGGAGTTCACTGAACCATCGTAAGCTGACACCCGTCTCGGCTGCATTGGGGGGGGGGGAGGGGGGAAGAGACGGTGCTGGGAGTCGCAATCCACTGCACTGGCTTCAAAACAATGGCCGTCGCCTGATGACCGGTCCTCATGTTCTGGGGATGCAGTAGGCGTGGGGGGGGGGGGGGGGAGGGGGAGGAGCAGACAGGAAGTTGATTGCGTACTGTGGGATACTGGGGATATTCGGCTTTTTCATTCACTTGATGGCCCATGACGTACCTACTTACCATATGTTGTACTGTCTTGTACTGTCAAACCGAGCTAGGTCAATTATTTTTTTCCTCTTCAAAAAATAAAAAGGAGCCGGAGTCGCCCTCTTTTTTGGCGGCTCCGGCTCCGGCTCCGGCTCCGGGCTATATTGTTTCACGGCTCCGGCTCCGGCTCCGGCTCCGGGCAAAATATGCCGGCTCCGGCGGCTCCGGCTCCGACTCCGGCTCCGGCTCCGCATCCCTGCTCCTACGGAGTCAAGGTGACGAGTCAGACGAGTCGGTTTCGCCCAACAGACGCTGAAAACGGTAGATGTGTCTGATTTGTGACTGATTAGCTCCCAGGCGAGACCCTAAACAAGTGTGAGATGTGCCCTTTGACGCATCTCCAAATCACGGGGCACCTCGTACTTCATTCAGTGTTTTTGTGTTACTGACCTGACCTATGTCTGTGTGGCAGCTGGTGCGTGGAGCCTACCTGGAGAAGGAGGTCGCCTGGGCGCTGAAATTGGGCATACCGCGACCCATCCACGACACCTACGAGGCCACCTCAGACATGTACAACAGGTAGGTGACGAAAATACAACCATGTCTCGAACGTCATCGTCCGTGGTAAGCACTCAGCAGCTGATGTCAGAGCATCCCACTTCCTTGTGCCGTCGATATCAGATGCTATCATAGGCCCCGTCCCGTTCACAGCCAGGTGGAGCGGATGCTGGGCCGGGTGGCCGCGCTCGGAGACCGGTCAGCCGTTATGGTGGCCTCCCATAACGAGAACAGCGTGCGTCTGGCCGTCAGACTGATGTCCCAGCTCGGCCTGCCGCGCGATGACGGTCGAGTGCTGTTCGGTCAGACATATGGCGTCTACGAGCAGGTCTCTACACCGCTGGGTGAGTGGAAAACCATCAGGCTTCAGCTGCAAGCTCCGTCCAGGAGCCCTACCGAACACCAACATGGCATAATATCCCCCGCCCGCCGTCATGATTCGTAAAATCCCTCGGAAATTCGCACGGTAGACTAGCGGGAGTTTGTTGTACTACTAGGGATAATTTTGTCCATAGGTGGCGCTAGTGGTAAGCGCCTGAAGGTATGCTGTGCCGCATCGCTCTGGGACGAAACGCGTGCGGCGTGCGGGAGGATGAGCGAATACGGGAGGGGTGACTCATGACTTGATAACCCTGATGCAAAGTGAAAGTTGCAGAGTTTGGTCTCGTCTAGCCGTATGCCCATTTCGCGCTTTATCCAGCCAGTACCGTGTTTCCTCCATGACATTTCTCCCTTGCATCACATCGAGTTAGAATCGTACCCAGTCAGTGACGTATCTAAGCTGTCTCATGTCCATCCAATCCGTATCTAGTTCGTGTCGTGTATCGCTAGGACCGCATGTCATTCATCTTTCGTGCTGTATATCAGTCGTGTCTTATCTTTTCCATGTCGTTTCCTCTCCGTGTTCCGTATCAGTGCGTGTCGTACAGCCGAGTCGGATAACCCATACCACGCTGACTGTAACCCTCCGTTCGGCAGCGTCCGCCGGTTACGCCGTCTACAAGTCGACACCCCTGGGCGACATCAGCTCCATCCTACCGTACCTGGCACGGCGGGCTGCTGAGAACCGGACAGTAGCGCGGGGCACGCGCTCAGAGCGACGACTGCTGGCGGCCGAGCTGTGCAGACGACTGGGACTGACCGGCAGCTGACAGAAACGGGGATGGTAGCCGACAGAAACGGACGGGCAGACGACCAGCCCATGAGACCAATACGGCAGTTGACAGACCCGGGACGGCACGGGAATCCAACCTTCCCTGAGCAGCTCGGATTGCAATGAAAGTTGACCTGCTAAGCTAGCTCTAACTTGATAATTTTATGACGGTGTCCAGCCCTCACTGACCATCTGAAGTCGCTCACGGGATCTGCGATTCCCTGGTCAGCACCTCGGATTAGCAGGGCATCGTATCGTCATTGACCAGCCAAAGCTGCCACGAGAGCCGAATATCCACTGAACAGCGTCGAAAAGGCTCTTAGCGGCATGCCAATATCTGCTAGTCGGATAATAGTTATACAGCGTCACCCAGCCAATCCATAGAGGAAACGGAGATTCAGATTTGAACTTTGAGCTCTCTCACTCATGCGTGCTCATATAGGAACAAATACTCAGCAATATATAGAAGGGTTCAACGCGAAGGAGTTACGTAACAAACGTAAGTCCGAAGATGATTGACGATATACTTTACTGAATCTGCCGCGCTTTGCACTTGAGGGCATATTCTCGATTGTGGGAACCTCTGCCGTGTAACTGTCATCGACATGCTTAGCGTCTCTTGTTTCAATACATAATTTTTGATACACTTTGTGTGCCTGTGCAACGGGTAGACGTTCGGTTGTTACTCATTTGGCAATGCGTGACAAAACACTGTAAGCTAGAGAAAATGTGAGAGATGAAAACTTTTTTAGCATCGTAAGAAGCTAAGCGACAAGTGATTATGTTATAATCTAGAATAAGTCTAGTATCTTTAATTTACTATGTTTTTTTTTCAAGCAATTTCAATTCAGTATAAGGGGATGAATACTCGTTTTATTACGATTTGCGAATATTCGACCGTCTATAAAGCGCTTAGCCCTAGGAAAACCATAGACATCTGTATACCGTGTACAGAGGTGTACAGAGGCCCATGCTTGGGCGAAAACCAGCCAGTGCGACCAAAGGTCTTCTCAACTGGACGGCGTTGTGGTGTAGACCTTAGCGTAAACAATGGAAATTAAAAATGGAGCTTGCACTCGTGGAGCTGACGTTTTATGTAAAGACAATTTTGTCACTAAATTAAATAAGGTCGACGAGCATAGCCGTAATTCGTATAGGGATACCGTTTACCAATTACCCCGACCGACCTAATAGAGATGCTCGATACCACTGGACTCGACCCTTAAACCTGCCAGAGTCACCGTGTACCGCGACAAAGCGGCAACCAGGCAATCGATCCCCGTTATAGAAGGCAGCCCGATCCCCGCTATAGAAGATAACCCCGAGTTAAGCCAAACGTCGCCCGCCTCGACCCGGAGGTCACCCAGTGTTTGGCCGGCGGGGTCCCGTTCCGATGATGCGAACTGCGCCACCGACGGGACTGCGCGCAGGCGCTGACCCAGTCACCGATCGATCCGACCGAGACACTGCTGTTTGGTGGCTGGTGCGGCGCACGGCCGGGCCGCCGCGCTGGAGGTACAGGGTCGGATAGTGAGGGCTACGGACGGCACGGAACGACAGCGGGGTTGGATAGCACGACACGAGAGTGAGGACAGCGTGTCGCACAGTGAACAGAACAAATCAGCAGGTAAGTGCTGATACAGACTAAGACTGTGGAGATCGTACAGACCAAGAAACAGAACAAAGTGGAACCCAATAGGTTTATCGATGATAACCATTTCCAAAGCCTAAAATGTGACCCAAACTGTCACTGTTTAATTAACGTTCAATGCGTGTTGAAAGAATGCTTTGGTTGAATGAATGAATGTCATCATGAGTAAGAGTTTGGCAAACGTTTTGATAAACATTAAACAAAGAAACGTTCCTGTTCTCGGTCAACACGCGCGGGATATCGCATTTAGGTAGACGGTCATTATTACCCCGCTCCTCCGTGGCGCTTGTATTTACGGTGAGCATTAATCACCAAGTGACGACCTCAGGCCTCCTTTGTTACGCAACAAGAAAGCCAGGGGTCAGCCAGACTTCGGTTTTTCTTTCTTATATGGTAAAACAAAAACAAAAACTTTTCCTCTACGTCAGCAGGTCAAGAAGGTCGAAAGCCGTCTTTGTACTCTCAGAGTAATCATGTTCTGTTCTCTGTTGTCAGGGACACCGGGCCAGCGACCTCCGCCCGCGGGACATGATCGGATAGCGGTCTTTGCCGCCAACCACTGTGAAAGCCTTCTTCGCCGAACAAAATCAGAACCCTTCACAGCAGGGTCAGCACAAACGACACATCGGCACCGACCATCCGACTACCATGGCAGGTGTGTATATGAACTTGTAGGTGTCCGATACGTCCATGCGATGTCTCATCCATTGTCGAGGAAGGCGAGCGCCGTTGGTAAGAACCGGTGTTGCGTATTACGCACGGTTGTGCGGCATCAGAGTGCAGCACCGCATTGTATACCGTTCCCGATATAACCTGACGCTCGATGCCAACGATACAGTTTGGTAGACAAAGCTAGGGTTGGAGGTCACGGCCAGAGCAGCACGATCAAAAGCTGACCTTCACCTTAGCCGAGTTCGGCAGCCGGCAGCTATCGCTCCAGTTATACGAGTCTCTCAGTGCAAACGCTGCCACACTGATCGCCGTGAGAGTATTTCATTTTGAATCAGCCAAATCCACTCGGGACCCGCGACGGTAGTTATACACGCCGGTTATATCTCGAAGAGTGATATGTAGTGAACCATCCTTAATACAACTTGAACTAAAACGCCAATCTTCCCCGCAGGATATCAAGTAAACATCGAAGACGCTGGCAACTACTCAGGTAAGAAGACATAGAAATACCCATTAGAACTCTGGGTGCCATGATCCATGGAATACAGAGGTCTATGGGATGCGAAGACGCATCCGCCATCAGTCAATATTGAGTATTCACCAGGATTCCTGCATCACACCCAAACGCATCTCGGCCGACTGTAAATCATCGTAGTTTCGTCCACTAGATGTCAGACAATGCGTCATTTCCGGTACATCTAGACGAATTGGTAGAATCTCAGGTGTGCCCGTGTCCTGTGACGCATGTCCGTGGGTCGGGGGTCCCATGACAAACGTGTCCGTGTCTATGTGTTTCCGTGTGACAAAAGTGCCTCATTTTCGGCAGAGCTCAACGAGACCGAGAAGCGTCGCGTGCGCCAGCAGGTGCTCCGCGAGCCGGCAGTGCGAGAGTCCGTCGAGGAGATGAAGCAGCGACTCAACCTGATGAAGAGCATTGTCGACGACACGCGCCAGGTGATGTCGGGAGGCGCCGCCGAACCGCGCCCCAAGGGGGTCGCCATCGACGGCGCAATGATGGGCGCCATCTTCGCCGTCATCCTGGCCGTCATCCTCGGCGCGTCGGCGCACGCCTTCCAGAACCTCTACTACGCCGTGCTGAAACGGTTCAACCGGTAACGTGGCTGCCGGGACGCTCATCCAGCCGCTCTCCAAGAGGCGAGAGACGCTCACCTAGCCGCTCTTCAAAAGACGAGGGCCGCGCTTCCAGCCGTGGAAGTCGCTCCACAGACGCGGGATCCGCTCAGTCAGCGACAGCCGGGTCGCTCGGGATTTGAGGCACAGTTGGGTCGCTCATCCAGCTACAAGAAGGTACGCCGAAGAGCCACGAGCGACGGCGGCGGATTGTGAGAAATGAGCCAAATCCAGATGTTGGAAGTATTCTTCTCTTACTGTTGCTGTGAAACGCTTCCAGACCAATAGCTTTACTGTTTCTTCCCCTGCTGTAAATAAATACGTGTACCTAAACCGTCATATTGGACAGACTTGTAGATGCTGGAGGTCACTGCTTAAGTTCGGAGAAAACCATGTTATGAAAAGATTCATACGAGCATAAATGAAGCATAATCACACGCACTTACATAATCTTAAATGCCACTTTTCGACTTTTTTGTCGATCTTAGTACGGCAGACATGCGTCCATTATGTTGAAAAAAGGTATAAAGCTTGACCTCAAGTTTCTTACAGAATTGCTCCCCGTTCAAATGTAGCGTTAAAAAAAGAGCAATGAGCAATGAGTATATCCGTCTGTCTCTATGGCATGTTTTGAGCCCTGGTTTTGAGCTACTGGTGCCGTCTCGTTACAGGTGGCCCACTGTCACGCAGTCCATGAGATTAATAGTGAACAGTGAACACGGTACAAATCACAGAAGTGGAGCAACTCCGGCCGTCCTGGGGGATAATTCGACATTACGAAACTAAGATAATTAAAGCAACTGCAGTGAAGGAGAAACGAGCTTGTGCAGTGTTTGGAGTTTTAAATTCATCAGATAGCTTTTGCTAGTTTGCGTCGGAGCCAGCCACACTTTCAATGATACGAGCATAAAAATCAGAGGTGCAACAATGTTGGCAGATTTCCCCCCCCCCCCCCCCAAAAAAAAAACGCGTCAATCGTATCAGTTGGCCCGCCGACCTGTATGATACCAAAGCCAACCAGCACCTATCAATCAATGTCAGTGCACAATGAACCAGCCACTCGGAAACAGCGAACGACGAACTGGTGGCATGTGATATGGAATGTCAGGATTTCTTGCCAACCTCAGACTGGAACCTAGAATCTCCACTTCTTTCTCCTCCGTCTCCCTTTCTTTCCACATAATCCAAATACTGTGATTGCCGGGTAAATGTATTGACAATCTACACAAATGAATGAATGCTGGTTGTGTGACCGGCGTACCGGTAATCCCATCGTCACGGATGTGGGGGCCGTGATCCGTGAACAGGTCAACTGCAAACCCCGTGATCCGTGAACAGGTCAACTGTGAACTCCGTGACCTGTACTGAGGTCAACTGCGAACCCCGTGACCTGTACTGAAGTCAACTGTGCCTTCCGTGACTTGCAGCCAGATCAACTTTGAACCCCGTGACCTGTACTGAAGTCAACTGTGCCTTCCGTGACTTGCGGCCAGATCAACTGTGCCCGCCGCGACCTGCGGCCAGGTCAGCTGTGAACCCCATGACCTGTGGCCGGCCCGGCTGTGAACTCAGTGACCACTCATCTCGCTCAGGTGACCCGGCGTCGTTAGCCTCTCTGCTCAGTCGGCCTGTTCCATGGCCGAGCCTCCGTCCCCGTTCTGACGGTCGGCAGATCTGTCCCTTCCGTCGGCGCCGCGGGAGCCCGAGCGGGACCGCGAGCGGGAGCTGTCGGGGCGGGGAAGGACCGTCAGATATAGGGAGTTGTCGCAGGGGGTCAGATGTTGGGGGGGGGGGGGGAGACGGTCAGACACAGAAAGCTGCCGGGGGGGGGGGGACGTCAGACACCGAAATCAGGCTGTCGGGGGGAGATAAAGTCAACCCTAGGGAGCAGTGTCGGAGGGGATACATTGTTAAACAGGAGCAGCGGTCGGGTGCGTAAACTGTGGGTGCCGGTAGTCGCGCTTTGCATGGCCAGAGCACTGCGTGTCTCAGGGCAGCTGAGACCCTGCCGACCCTGCGAAGACCTCCGGCTGCTTACCGGGACCTGCTCCTGGAGCGGGACTTGGAGCGCGACTTGGAGCGAGACTTCCGATCGTTGTCCTTAGAGCGCGACCTGGAACGAGGGCAATCGTCAGACCGAGTCTGCTGGAAGGCTGTAGCAGCCCTGACTGGCGCTTATCAAACTCGAACAACAGTGCTCTCACAAGACTGGCGTACCATATTAAATAAAATCAGTCAGAGTGACCAAAGCATCGCTAGTTTATGGGGATTCATGAACCCCTTGAATTGGTACAATCCACAGAAATAATCAAAACAATGCAGCACATTATTATTACGATGTTCGTTCGCCCTTTCTGCAAGAACCGATGTAATGACAACGGTAACATATTTTATCGACGGCAACCGAAACGCATGAGAAGTTATCACGAAACTTAGTTTTGTGATAACGGATGCAAAAGCACATGGTAACCAATCCAACCCTACAATGTCATTAACTCCTTGCCAGGACAAGACGACAAGTAATCAACAGAACATTCTAACAAATGGGAGGCAATCGCATCCCTCACTAAGTTCACGAGACTCGGCAGTCTCAAATCTCTGAGCTGCCCATCCCACGCCGTCATCTACGCCGCACTGACTCCTGAACCCTCGGCGACCGGCTGATCTGTCCCCTGTCCGTCTCAAACGCGACCGACTTGTCCCCTCCCCGTCACTCGCGCAGCTGACCTGCTCCGCGACCGAGATCCGCCGCGATCCGCAGACTTGGATCGGGATCTACGATCCGCCGACTTCGATCTGGACCTGCGCTCCGCTGACTTCGATCTGGATCTACGCTCCGGTGACTTGGATCTGCGATCTCCAGACTTCGATCTGCGCTCCCTGGATTTGGACCTGGACCGACGGTCTCCGGATCTGGATCTGCGATCAGCGGACTTGGAGCGGCGGTCGGCCGACTTGGAGCGCGACCGCGACTTGGATCTTGCGAGTCAGATGAGAGTGGGCGGGCGGGCGGGCGGGCGGGCGGGGACGGGTGGGACTGATCAGGCAGTGTCGGATCCTCCGGAGAGGGCTCCCGCTCCGACGGCGATCCGGAGAACCCGGCTCCACACAGACAATCGCACGCAGGCAGACAAAGCAATGGAACATAAAATAAAAACAACGAAGCATGTTCGGTTGAATCACCGAGCGAATAGCTAGCTGACCGTGTGTGCAGTGGTTCGCGCTGGTAATAGGTTTCAGCTTAGAACTGTTAATTGAAAGCGGTAGTAGCAATACAGACTAAACGGAGAAAGCAATGAAACATTTAAGCCCTTCAGTAAGTGACCAGTAAATGAATTTGTACCATCATAACATTTACTTTTGAAACATATTCCGTCATGACTTTTGGTTATTTATTCCAGCAAGTGACATGCAACAGCGCTTTCAGAGCAAATGCATTCATCTAATTTCCCTTCACTGAGCAGCATGCATCGTCCTTTTTCCCGTTACGTAATTTGAACTACGAAAATTTTTACGTAGTTTGTAGAAGACATGGGGTAAGCAAACCAAGAAGAGATCCGATTCGGTTCATTTCCTCCATTCAAGGTTCGCTGGGGTTCAGCACACAGTGATCGGTTAGGCATACACAAGATTCCATACGTCTATTCCTGTGGTGAGCTTGGGCCAATCCAGCGGTGCCAAAATAGCATCATTGCAGTTTGCAAACGTCAATTACTCCTCAGACTACCTATGTAGTTTGTGCGTAGGTACGTTAGTGACTAAAGCAATGCAGCTTTTCAGAGCAAATAAAATTGTTATTGAACTCCCTTTCAGCCTAGCTCTGCTGAATTTGACTGGTTTCATTCACATGCATCAAACTACATGAGCAGCGCGTGCCGCCAACCAGCCAAACAGCTGATTTCTACCAAAGAGCTGCACAAAATAACTAAAATAAATGCAAGCCATCTACAGCGGGCAGCGGTCAGCCGCGCCACAATACATACCTGGAGCGGGAGCGGGAGCGCGAGCGGCTGCGGCGGTCCCGGCTGCGGCTGCGCGAGCGGCGCCGAGAGCGCGAGCGGCTGCGCGAGCGACTGCGCCGCGAGCGCGAGGAGCGCAGCGAATCGTCGATGAGCCGGATGCGGCGTCCGTTCAGCTCGGTATCGTCCAGCTTGTCCAGCGCGTGGCGCACGTCGGAGTAGGAGGCGAACTCGACCACACTGTCGGCGGCGAGGACAGGCGGGTCAGCTACGAGACAACGGGTGAGGCTATGAGACTTCTTACACCTTTTTTTGCAATCGTAAAAATTTAAAGAAAAAGAAACTGAATAATATGAGCGGGGCTAAAACACTTGATAGCTCACTGATCCATGATATAAAGGACAACACATTAACCCGCGCGGGGCTGGGGTCTCCAGCCGAACGCGCGGGGCTGGGGGGGGGGGGGGGTAAATTTTACCCCCCCCTGTTATCTCCCGAACTAATGGTCCGATTTGGAAAATTCAAACGCCAATCGAAAGATCTCATCACGAGCAACTAAAAACATGTACTTAATTTAAAGTTTGAGGTCAAGGTCAAGGTCAGGTAAAGGGTACAAATTGCAAGTGTCTACCTCTACAGTATCGGCCTTGCACCGTAGTTGCCGAAGAATGGAGTCATGGACTGAGACTGATTGCCCAAAACGTGTTCTTAGGCTACCAAGACAATATTAGTTGCATACAATATCATTCAGAGGTCAAGGTCAAGGTCAGGTCAGGTCAGGTCACCAAAAACAAAATATAGAAAAGGGCATGTGCGGCACATGTTTTATGGGTCATTTTACTCATAGAATTCAATAGGCACACTCAATAAGTGATATGGACCACCTCTGGATGAATTTCAGGTCGAGGTCAGGTCAAGGTCAGGTCAAGTGAGGTCAAATTTAGAAGTTGGTTTTTAAGGCCTAAAAAGTGTCTATCTGATGCAGTTTTTCACGGTGAATCGAATGGTGCTATTTTTGTTTCCGTACGAGGTCTAGAACTTCCAAAAAAAATCATTTTTCAAAAAATTTGTGTGTCATGACGTCATAAAATTTTGAATAACTCCCACATTTTTGAACCGATTCTTCTAAAAATTGGTATGTAGGTGCACATAGACCACTTCTCTGACATATATTCCGGTTTTTCGATACACTCAAAATTTTGGATTTTATCATTATTTTCCAAAAAAAGCAAGTTAAAAAAAATTGGGCCAAAATCCAAAATTTTCAAAAAAAAAAGAGATAGCCAATTGATAGACAAAGTAGAATTACGTATAACCTTTTATGTTACGTCTTGATTCCTTTAAAAATGAAGATGTTAGCGGCGTTTGAAATTT